GCCAGTTTTAGATAAGGAAACAAGCAAATAAGTTTCAGCTTGGTCCTGCTTTCACCTGAAGTCTTTTCCTTTTAATGGGGAGTCACTAGGGAAATAATCACAGTGTTGGATGCTCTTTATATGACTATGAATCCTACCCGGGATCATGTCTTGTAATTAATAACGCCGAGGTTAGCTTCACTGTTGATATTGACATTCAATTACAGATACCTGATTATTTATAGAGTGCATTACAGTGAATTAAATTATACATATTATATTGGCTGGATTTCTTCATCAGTCTTTCCTATTACAGTACTTTCCATTAGCAATTAAAGGCTTCTTTGACCTATTTGAATGTGAAGACTTTGCTTGGAGAGTAAAGCTGTTGGTCCACTAACTCCAGTCTAAACATCAGCTGCTACATGTCACTTATTTGCAGACATACTGCCATCTATTCTAGAGTTTCTGTGAAGTTACTTTATTAAAATTAGTTGTTCAACAATATATTTTCAAAGTGGTTACATTAAATATTAAACATAAAGGAATACAGCAGGTTTTTGAAAAAAAAATCCGAAGTTGATGCAGCAATATAGGTGGACTAAAAATGACTTTGAGGTATATTTATTCTCCTTTCAGAACAGTTCCCTCTTTTTTCTGAGAATAAAAAATGCTTTTGTTCTACAGAACAGATTAGATTACAATTCAAATGGAGAGACAGTCATTCATATCACCTTGCTTGTCTGATAATTTAGTGTCTAAGTGAATCTTAAGAAACAGCTGGATGAAATTTAAAGTGCTCAGAGTTTGGCCTCGACCACCTGTTTGGGAACTCTGTTCCTTGCTTTTGCTACTGATTGTGAAATCGTTTCCTGAGTTAACCGTATCTTTCCCTCTAAGGATCTTCCTAGCTGGAACAAACCTTCTGTCCATCACCTTAGTTCTAGAAAGGAAGTTGAACTTCCTTAACCTATATGGCAAGTCTTTTTTACAGCACCTGATAGACACCAGCATGAGAATTCCAAACCAATGAGTGCAGAACTCTGTGCTGCTGCAGAATTTGAAAGCACAGAAACTCAGAATTCACAGCACTGCTCTGTAGACATGTTCTTGCCCACAGGAGTATTTCAGCCATGCTAAAATACTGGGCCTTCTCCATTATGTAGAGCTCAGAGGTGGTTTCTTACATGATGTTTGTAATATATGTTCCTATTGCCAGTGTGGATAACTTTTTTACTTTTTCACCTTATATTTGATTTGTCATGTGTCTATAACTACATTTTTTCTAAAATAATACATTTTGTTCTATAATTCCCCTGTTGCTATTTATGTTAGCCACTCCCCTATTTTTGTATCATCTGCTACTATCTTGACATTAGCTAAGCAGTTCTCGATCCACTTGCATACATGACCTTGAATTCCTATGACATTTCATGAGATTTGAGAACTGACTTTTCATGGAGGACTGACTGACTTTTGGTCTGAATTTCTCATTTTGTGCTGTACGCTTTAGTTTTATCCACTGTCCTTTTGTTGTTTATTAGTAGAATTGTAGAAACATTGCTGATCTTCACATTCTTATAAGTTGGTGTTACAATAGTGACTCCTATTCTACATAATAGTTGACATATCCTAGCTAGGGCTCTATAAATATTATCCCACATTTCCTTAAATGTGATATGGTATTTATTGGTTTTAGTCACAAAAGGCCCTCTGGAACTTGTGGTAATTAATGCTAAACCACTCAATACCAAGGGAGCATGTTCTGCAGTATATTAACGTGGGGCATGTTATTGATATCTATTGTAAAAACCTTCACTGACTATTCACCTAACATGTTTACTATGTCTTTATCATTGTGACAGGCCTACCTCACCCCAGGGGGCTCATGAGGCCAGAGCACATTGCAAACCAATGACAGAAATACTGTTCAAGGAGATTTGATTCTAGCAAAGCTCTTCAAGACAGACACCACAAACGACCCTATTCCAACCAACCCAACAGCCACTAACAACATAAATTATTTTATGTACTAAACTTCGTCTAAATTAAACCCATATGAGAATGTCACTCTCTGCCCTTCACGAGCTATTTAGTTAATCAATAATGCACCGCTTATGAATCTATTTACACAAAACCGAGGCCTAAACAACCTCTAGTGGCAGGTCAGCTGAAACTAAAACCTGCCACATGTTAGATTGTCATCTTCTATTATTAATTGCCTATTAAATTGTAAAGTATTTACTCCCCCCTTTACAGCTCTCTTACATGTGTAGAACATAAATATGCTTTGCATTACTTTTGTGTCATGGGACATTTTCTTCTGTTATTGGACATACAGACTGAACTGATGTGAAGATCAATGTCAATGCTGGATGTACTGTAGAATTTAAATCAAGGGATGTTACTACTGCAGAAAGCACTGGTAAGGATTTCATCATCCTGCAATGGCCCTGGGTTCAATTCAAGACTAGTTGTGCTATTTGCATGTTTGTGTGGGTTTCCTCCAGGTGTGCCTGTTTCCTCCCACAGTCTGAAGACACACTGGTAAGATAAGTGGTTTCTGGGAGAACTGGCCCCGGTGTGAGTGTGCATGTCTGTATTTGTGTCCGTGTGTGCTCTGCAATGGACTTTTGTCCCATCCAGGGTGTCCCCTACCTCGTGCTTTCGTTGTTTGCCGGGATAGGCAACACAAACCCCAAATCAGGACCCTGAATCGGGAAAAGCAGTTAGAAATTAGAAAAAGGATGGATGGATGAAACGGACTCTTTGGAATGGTCTAAATGAATTTCTCCAATGATGAAACACAGTAATTTGTTGATTAGTTTCAGGTCTGCCATTGTTCTTTGCTTGTAACTTTTAGGTACTGTAAGCCTTATTTTCAGCTCTTGAACAGAGTATAATGAGGTTCAAGTGGCAATCTTCATCAGTCTCTGAGTTGCAAAGGATCAAGTAGAGGTTTATTTCTCAATGAATCTTAGAAAGAAAGAGAAAAAATACTATAATTATAAGTTCAGCCTGCTTCAGGTAGAGGACTCCACTGCCAAAGCACTGAATTTTCTTTTTTTTCTAATGTGAAATTAACCATTGTTCTGTTGTATGTTATATTCTTTAGGACTTGCATCAGACTGTTGAGCTGGTCATTCATGTTTTGGGATCTTCTTCTACGGGAAACCCCTCAAAGCATTTGAAGTGTGATTAGGGTCATTATCTTCTTTAAATTCCCTGCCGTAATTATAATGCTCCTTACTGTATGAGAGGATTCTCTGCTCTGATGACATCTCTGATCGTCATTAAAACATTATTTTTTGAATAATGTAATTTATATATTTCTGCCAAAAAACACAGCTTTATAACTCAATACGTTATCACCTCTTAAAGAGTTTGAATGTTTTTTTCCATAAAATATTCTTCCCACTCTCTGAAAACGTTTTAACCTTTTTTTCAGTTTTGCATTATGAGTCTGGCAAGAATACACTTAAGATACAACAGCAACATTTGTGTATGATTTTTTGCCAAGATTGTTTTTCTATAATTATTAAGTGCACTTTCCCATTCAAATGAGACTGAGATTAGTAATAGTTTACTTGAATTTTGTTCAGATTTAATAAGTATTAAAGTGCAAAATAATGGAAAGTAACTCGAGTCAAGATTTGAGTACATGTACAAAGTACATTTTTAAAACTGTATCAAATTGAACTTGTCTGATTCAATTTAAATCTTAAATCTCATAGTATTTAACACAAATGTCTATTTTACACTGTACTTTACTATAATAGTATTAAAATTATTACTTTTTAGGGACATTTTATCGGTTCAATTTCCCAAAATGAGTATTTTTTTTTGGTCTGTCTTATGGTATTTTACTTCCATAGAAGGAGTTAGAGAGTTGTAAAGTGTATTAAGTTTTACAGTATTAACTGTAAAAACTGAAATTCATAGCAGCAAAAATTTGTAGAGTAACTGCACCATTTAGTATGGAACTTAGTATTTAGTATCTTTACGTTTCTGCTGTGTGTGTTAAAAGCAGTGTTGGGAAAATTTATCATTAAAAAGTACAGTAATCTATTAAATCTATCTAATCTATTAAGGGATAACTTTTTTTTAATTCATAAGAAGTTGGAGAGAATTCCTGTTAAGATGTGAAGTGTCTTGTCACTTAGTAAATATACACACTTAGTAAATATACAATATGCATACGCTGTGACTGATGATTTGTACAATTATTTTTCCCCAGCTTCTTGTTCTGATGTGTTTTGGAAACATGACTGAGTCTTTAGATCTGCAAGATGGTACAGTACAGTAGGTAGATGAAAGCAAAATAAATAAAATAACATAATAAAACGTTTAGTGTTTTACAATTGACTGAACAAATTCATTATGAGTAGTAATTATAGTATTGTTATTGTTATTGGATTTTTAAGTAAGAGCTTTGTCACTAAGTGTGGTTTAGGTGGTTAATAACTTTAAATGAGCATTTAAGGACAAACAATTCATTGCAATATAATAAATTAAGGATATTGGCTATGAAGGGTTATTGAAATTAAATTACATTGAGGCATTGCTATTTAACAATTATTGCTATTTAACATTGTATTTAACTAGGTTATACATTTCTCTTAAATCCTATTTGCAACGACGGACACAGGATACCCCCTGAGCGGATGCCAGTGCATCACAGGGCAGACGCAGACGCACATACATTCACACCAGGGCCAGTTTTCCCAGAAAATTAACCTACCAGTATGACTTTGGACTGTGGGAGGAAACTGGCGCACCCTGGAGGAAACTCACATGAAAAGGGGGAGAATATATGAGTTCCACACAAACAGCACCTCAGGACCAGATCCCAGGGCCCCAGTGTCGTGAGGTAGCAATGCTGACCACTGCACTACCATGCAGCCCAAGAACTTTTATCACTTCTTTATTCTTACTTTTACTAAAATGTTAAATTCTTCTATATTTCTGCCAGTTTCACGTATGGAGATTTTCACTGGTTGTCATTACTTTCTTTTTCCCAGGTCTCACAGCAGCAGCTTCCTTGGTATCCCTGGCCTGGGCCTTGGCATCCTACCAGAAAGCGCTCCGTGACTCTCGCGATGACAAAAAGCCCATCAGCTACCTGGCCGTCATCATCCAGTTCTGCTGGCATTTCTTTACCATTGCGGCGCGGGTCATCACCTTCGCGCTGTTTGCCTCCGTGTTTCAGCTCTACTTTGGGATCTTCATCGTCCTGCACTGGTGCATCATGACTTTCTGGATCGTCCACTGTGAGACAGAGTTCTGCATCACCAAGTGGGAGGAGATTGTCTTCGATATGGTGGTTGGAATTATCTACATCTTCAGCTGGTTCAACGTGAAGGAGGGGAGGACCCGCTGCCGATTGTTCATCTACTACTTTGTCATCCTTTTAGAGAACACCGCCTTGAGTGCCCTCTGGTACTTGTACCGAGTGCCACAGAGTACTGACGCCTTCGCCATCCCCGCGCTCTGTGTCATCTTCAGCAGCTTCCTGACCGGAATAGTCTTCATGCTCATGTACTATGCCTTCTTTCACCCCAACGGACCCCGGTTCGGGCAGTCGCCAAGCTGCACCCTCGAGGACCCTGCAACCGCCTTCACGCTGCCGTCCGAGGCGGCCGCCAACGCTCTCCGGGCCGTTTCACACAATCGGGGGCCACCGGTCATGGTGCCCGATAGGGATCCCAAATACACCGAGAGGGACGGCTGTGTGCCGGTGTTTCAGGTGAGGCCCACTGCCCCCTCCACGCCATCTTCCCGTGCTCCGCGGATAGAGGAGACCGTCATTAAAATAGACCTGTTCCGGAACAGGTATCCAGCCTGGGAGAGGCACGTGTTGGACAGGAGTATACGGAAGGCCATCCTCGCCTTTGAATGCTCACCGGCTCCTCCCCGGCTGCAGTACAAAGATGATGCTCTGGTTCAAGAGCGGCTGGAGTACGAGACCACACTGTAGCCCCTGGGGATAAACCTACTTTGGAAAATTACTTTAAGAAACATAGAAGAAACACTAGACGATCAACTTGGGTTTACAGCAGGACTGTGGCAATAAGTTACTAGCTCTCTCTATACATAGCATTGGTCCGTGATGTTGATTGTCATGGACTAAAAATAGGCACGAATTCTTAGTTGATTTGAAGGATTTCTTGGTGTTTTTTTAGCGGTTTTTTAAAATTTAGTTTTCTGTTTTTTTAATATTAAAAAATATGTCTGTCAGGGAATACTTAAACCAGTAAGAGGCCATCACATCCATACATACAGTACACCCTCCTAAAACCCCAGATAAAAGGAAGGCATAGCAGTTTCCCTCCGTTGGACCCTGTGTTTCTGTGATCCTGGGAGCTAGAACAAGGGTCATTCCTATAGATCACAAGCCGGAGCTTGGAAGCCCAAACTCCAGCTATCTTCTTTATATAACGGAGAGCCCAAGATGCTTGTTGTTCTGTGAAAACAGTTCGGGATTACCCCCGTCTCGACCCTCAGTAGCTCAGTTATTAATCCGCCATATTTCTTTTAATGTAGACCAGTTTTTAATGAGGTTAGAGGCACAGAAACACTACAACCTCATCCCTGTAGTTGCAAGTATATGGTGATAGAATTATAAATGTGATAACTCTAACGCAGCAAAACAAAAAAACTGTTATTTGAAACTAACAGGGGACCAAATTCATAAAAAGAAAATGTATATGTAAAAACGTTAACTATAGTAACTCTGTCCTTCTTGCAAGACTCATTGCGCTGGCCAGTCTATGTGTGTTGTCAAGACACTATCGGCCACACTCTGCTACTAGTGCCAAAAGTTCTGTTACTGTTGGAATTTCTGTACTGGGTTGTCATGGAGTACTGCTACTTAAAGTAGGACTGGATTACCAATTACTTGAATTAACAACTTGGTCAAGGTCCTGAGGAGATACTACGCAAAATACAACGCCTATATGAACTGGCTCAAGGGCAGACTTCATCATGGTACTAACTGTACATTGGAAGAAAGGAGCAGACAGATGAAACCTTTTGGCAGCTTGAATATACATTAAAGCCTCATTTGTCTAACTGCAGCCTGGCCTGGACTACTGGAATCAGACCACAAGTGTACAGAAAACACAAGAGCAAGGAAAGTGTCTTTTTAACTAACTGGCCTAACTACACTCATAACAAAAACAGAAACATGTACAGTAGGACTAAAGATGCAACATTCCTTTTTACCTGGTATGCAATTCTGAAAGCATTTGGTAGGATATATACTGTATAAGACCGCCATTAAGTACAAAAAACAAATGATAATATCTTATGCATTTTGAAGCACTTTTGTGCAACTTGCTGCTCTATTTTAGCCAAGAACAAGCATAGGGCTGAAAGCACTAATGTCATTGTGACTGTCTGCAGCCATCAATCTTAAAAGCAATCATTTCAAGTGAGGATGGATTGTAGCCAACAGGAAGAGAATATGCAGCACAGAGTAATCATTGGAGACTCAAATAAATACAATTCCAAGCAGGACTGTTTTGGATATATATATATACATAAAAAGAATGCTGCATCTTTAACACTGAGGAAGATTCTGAAACTGTTGGAACCTTCCTTTTGTTCCATAGCTGCGTTTTAGCTTAGTGTGCTGAGATGCCAACTCAGAAAAAAGTGACACAAGGAAGGAAAACAAGCACAAAAATCTGTCGGAAGGAGAAATCATAGCGCTGTTATTGTTGTCTTTGTCTTGTCAATCAGTTCAATGTGAATTGAAAAGAATAAAAAACAGTTTTCTTCATTTATAGTGGCAGTGATTAAATCAGATGTGCAGTGCCTGCTGTCCATGTGGCAGGCAAACTGTGGATATTGATTTGGATGAATTACCTGTTGCAAACATACAAATAATAGGAAATATGCAAGTATGAACCTTTCACAATTTCAGAAACAGAACTGTCTGAAAACAGTTTTACTTCTTCTTTACACATATTTAGTCAAGGCAAGCTGTCGCAGAAAGAATTAAGGGTGAAATAAGAGCGTTCGTGGCTGCCTGACTTGTCTAAATATGCACAAGGCAGAATTCAAAGTCTTTTCTAAACTCTTTAACTACAGTATGTGAACTAGTCGCAACAAATTAAGTTGCATATTTCCCTGATTTCCTAGTAATTGTTTTGCATTTTTTCCTTGCATATCCTAATTCTGAATAGCATTTTACATTTATGTTTATATACTGTAGACTGAGAAGAAACCAACACAATTTGCCTTGACGTGCTTCTCGTTAATGGATTTGTTTGCAGTAATGAAAGGAAATATCAAAGGTTTGTCTTTTGGTGGTACTGTATCCTTACAGGGTGCTGATTAAATCCATTTTACTTTTTTGTACGTGATGATATTTTTTAAACCTGGAAATGCGAAGCAGACAATTGTTTAATGGGTGATTTAGTTCTTTACATCCTACTATATAGAAAAAAGAGAAAGTAGAAGACTAATACCTAAGATAAGACTAATGTTTTTCTGCCTGCACCTAAGAAGTCAACTAGCATGACAGAAACCTTAAGTATGTAGCACAGAGTGAATGAAAACTCTGCAAAAGATTTGTTGATTAGGTTGGGGCATTTCTCAGTCATCTCTAGGGTAAATATTTCCACTGAGTGAAAAGCACATCGGTACAGGTGTTGAAAAAGCAGTTTTGAAAGGGGGCTTGCTCTACATGACCAGCAGAAGCTCTGTTCTTTATTACTCACAAACAACAGAAGTTGAATTTCAGTTCTTCCTTTCTCACGTTTGTGTTTGAGTGGGAGAGAAGACCGTTATATTTTCTGGAAATGTTTTCTTCAAACCACAGTATTATATGACAAATTCAGGGTGCTTTTCAAAACATTTCACTCTTCACACATTTGAATTTTCTCCTAATTCTCTAAAATAAATTGTGGATGTTTAAATGTGTAAAATGGTATGGAGATATACAGAATATATATGCATTTAAATATTGTTTTGGGCTTGTATCGAGATTTGAGGTGGTATCGGTATTTTAGTTGGAAAAGATTTTGCAGTGGAGCAGAAAGTTGTGTACTGCATTACAAATGATAATTATACAGTTATTAACCATAATATTTTATGTAAATTTCCATACATTTCAGTTCTTTTTTTTAGTTTAATATCACCATTTTGTAGAAAGATCTTACCATGTTGTGATAGATCTAGCTGTGAAAAAAGTACTCATTGGGTGTTCTGTCTGAAAGAAGAAATATCCCTTTTGAAAAATTATTTACTAGCAATGTATCTTCTTTTCCCTTTAAGTGTAGACTTGAGATTTATGTATCCCAATTGACCAATTAAAGCCAGTGGCCATGAGAATGTTATCAAGGAACATATGGTTCTTTGTCTTAGGAACTGCTGTGGTGTAACAGTCACAACTCCCAGAGGTTCCTTAAAGGAACAAGACAAACTTGGGAAAACAGGAACAGTAGTTAAAAGTTATAAAAAGTAAAAAGTGAGTTTTCCTGATTCAAGAGTCAATGATTCAGAGGTTTCTGGTGGCAGCATTAACAGATTATTACAGTATGTGTCTTCAGAAACACCTTTACTAAAGATTTACATTTAAAGAAAAGATTTACTAAAAAATAATAAAAAACAACCTTAAATTGTTGCATCAGGAATGATTATGAAGAAGAGCAGGAAACTAAATCTATTGGACTTGAATATTTCATGTTTATTTTAAACAATAAGGCCACTCACTGTAAAAATAGCAAATACTGATAAAATAAGTGAAAATGAGTATTTGTTGGGCAACTGATTTATTGTTTATTCCAGCACCATTCCTATATTCAACAAAAGGGTTTACAATCCACAGGTACATTTCTATTGGCAGTTTTAACTGAATAAGAATGAATGTTTGCTTTCTTTTAAAACAATAACATGAAATAATGGAAATATTATGTTATGAAAAAATACAACAGTAATAATTTGGTTTAGAATTTTATTTTACAAATATAATATAGGAACTTTATGTTGTGAGAAGTCAGTGGAGGCCATAACCTTTTTGTAATATCTGTGGCCTTTCATTGTGACTAAACAATGAAAAATGACCTACTGTAAACAACAGCTCAGAAAATAATAAATCACAGAGAGTTAGTGTTTTTATATCTCATTAATATTTTACATAGAGTTCTTTTACACTGAAACTTTCCTTGGTGAATTAAATTCCTTTGGTGCTTTAATATAAATTATTCTCCTGAATGACCAATGTTTTCCACACCAAAAAATACTATAGTAGAGTCACAGGCTATTACAGAATTGTAAACTACATTTTCAATAGTACTTCAGTAGTCTTCTTCTTTGCTACATGGTTCTGATCTACAATAGCCTGTCTTGTAGCACTCATGATCAGCCTCAAACTCCAGAGTTGTATGATAACATGAAATTGAGCCAAGGCATACAGTATGTGTAATGTCATGACCCTAGTTTACCATTGAGGAACCATTGTTGTGCCAGAACAATCCTTGGACATGCTGAGTGAATAAAGTAATGGTTTTAACTTCAGATGAAGCGCCTAGGTTTGTCAAATCTCAAACTCCAGTTAATAATAGATCAATGCTAACAAAAATGTGTGTGTGTGTCAGTGTTGTGTTTGTGTGGCAGGGAGGAGGGCTATTGAAAAAGTCTTATTTCCCGTGACTGTGTATTTTTTAGAGAAAAAGATGTGTTCAGTCTTCTGAAAAGAAGAAAAAAGAAAGCAACCATATGCTCTTCTCCTGAATAAAACTGTTTAAACACAGCCAGGACTCCACTGACTGCCATTAAAGCCAGACTTTCCAAAAAGATCCTCATTTTAACTCATAGTCTCTGCATGACCTGATTCAGCTTTTTTAACATAATTCCTTTTAGAGGTCAGTGACAGCATGCTTTTGCATACATATTAGCTCTGTATTCCAGCAGCATAAAAACATCTTCTCCAATAACAGACTTGTCAATGAGCTCTCAAGTTTAGTGTAAATTTACCATTTCTGATATTTAATACAAGGCAGTGAGGTGCATTCCCAAAATAACTGGCATTTTTGTCAGTCATTAGACTATTTGCGTATTGTGATATATATAATGCTCTTAGAATCCTTTTCTTATATACAGTATAATGAAGTTTATAATGAACGTTCAGGAGGGATGACAACAGCCAGGTTCAATCAGGCTCAGCTGCCTGTAATTCATAATCAATCCTAACGTCATTTCCCCACCTCAAACTTTATAAATAATGTACGTGTTCCCCTTCTCTCCCTCGCATACATTCCACCTCCACCCCATCTCCACCTCTGCAGCTGCCCTTGGGTCACCCCTCACTGTATATGGGGGTTTAGCCCCCTCATCCTGTGGCCAGGAGGTTGGCATTCAGCCAAGTGGGTTAAGCCAAATTTTCACTAAACGCTCAATAATCCTTTCAGTAACACTTAATTCTTGGGTATCATTATTCCTCATGAAATATGAATTAGATGAGTAGATTTGTTTTTCAATTAGGCTATCCTCTTTTGTATCTAGTGGGCCATAAAAGTGAATTTCATTTTAGACTGAGAATAGGAAATACTGTACTATGTCCTGTTGTGTTGAACTGTGGGCTTCCTAGTTGGGTTGCTGAGGCCAAATCTTTGGGCTTCTTTCATCTCTGGACAAATGTTTATATTCACTTAGCTACTGAACTAAAAAGCACTCAAGATGGGACAAATGACCTCTTCTCATCTGTGGCCTTTCTTATTTATTTCTACCCTATCTTTAGTTTTGTGGCAAATTTCTTGCTGGTTCGTATAGCCAACAGTATGAGCAATGTTTTATTTCCTTTGGAGATATTCTTTACTGATGATTAATTTCTTTGTGCCTTATCTGACATTTCAAACAGGAAAGAAAATAAGCACATAACATTATTACTTTAGACAGTCTGCACTGCCCACTAAGGCTGCATATAATGGGAGCCTACAGTATCCCGGGAATAGAGGTGTGATGAAGTAACCTACTGCATTGTAAATTCAAAACGTTTGCTGGATTAAAAATGCATTACAAGCTGTGAAGTATTGTGATGCTCAATAAATCATTACAATTGCTCTGTTGGTGTCCCTGCAAAGTTGAACTTAACATCGTTCTGCTGTAAAGCCTGCTTGTTTGTGGAATGACATTATTTTTCCTCTGATTCCAAGCAGGTACTGTATGTTCAACAATCAAGTGTCTGAGCCTCAAAAAGACCATTCACATTGACACCAACCAGGGTCGTGTTCCCTCTCACAAGGCATTTATTATCAAGGCATAAAGCATTTTGTGAAGAATAAGAATTGACTTTGTAATGTTTCCCAGTTTTTCCATAAACTATCAAATTAAAAACAAGATGCTAACCTTTATCCTGATATGTGAACAAAATAATTTATTTTTTAAGATACAAACAACTGCTACACCTGAATTAATATGTCTCTGGCCCATCATGACTATCTACTTTAATATTGGTGCCTAATTTTTGGTGAATTCACTCAGCCTGGTTATAATAGTCTCTACGTATCAGTGCTTGGCCCAAGCGACACTCTTTCCAGAGAAATATGCAAAGAACTAAGAGTGGATCGGGTTCCAGTTAATGTGATATGGATAAGGCACAGAAAGTATATACATACGATACATATCTAATGTCAGGAAAATAACCAGCTAAATTTCTTTAAAACAAAATGTTTTTCTTCAGAAAGGTACTGTTTTTGGAGGAATAATATAATATACATGTATTTCATAAACTCATCCTTTACTTTGTGGGCATACTAAATGTCTCTTTGTGGCACA